AGATGGAGGGATTATGTGATATGACACTGGCATTGCCGCTCTGTGTTAATGGCCTTTACATCATCCAGCAGAGTATAAACGTTGCTGCTTTGACTCTTTAAACACATTCAGCTCTCTCTCTCTCTCTCTCTCTCTCTCTCTCTCTCTCTCTCTCTCGTACTGTACATCCCTCTTACTACCGGTTTGTGTCCCTGTCTCACTCTCCCTACTTCTCTGTATTCTCTGTTTTTTCATTAAACCGTTGCAGAAACAGTTTCTGAATTTCTGAAATTTCAGCGAAATTAATTGTGAATCAGTACGTTTCCATCATCTACCATATGTGAATACATTCAAGAGGACATGACAGGATTAATAACTCCAATGCATCATTACATTTCATTGCTGCTTCCAGGATATTTGTGGTTTTTCTCTTCTTCTTTTTTTTAATAAATCAATTTGTCACTGTTGGGGAAGCTTCTGTGAATGTGTAGCAGGTAACATCAACACTGCAGTTGAAGTGCCAAACTGCACTACAAGCTATTTAATGTAGCTTAATACATTGAAATATTTCACATCATGAAACATCTAGAAGAGAAGCTTGACACCACTCTCGTGTCTATACACTAAATATGAAGCCAGCACCAGCAGCTGGCTAGCTCAGCTCCTCATCCCTTTAAAGTTTCCAGACAACAGTGGAGACTACAGGAAGTGCATTTGTGCATTAATTTATTACAGCACAAAATACATGAATGTGCTTGTCAGGGACTTAATTCTGTTGTAGATTCATCACTGCCAAATGAACGACCAAATTAAGTTTCGGGTGCAGAATTTGCATGCAGGGGCGCCCCCAGAAAACTTTTCCAGGCTTGGCCAGATGGGGCCACTGAAAATCTTGGGGTTGCACACTAAACCAAAAGCCATAACTGAATTTCAGGAATTCTATTATGCAGTATATAAACTAGTTGACTACATAACAATATGAGTTAAGGAATCATAGACTGATATACTTTGGTTTCTTTTTATTTAGTTTCTAGTTAAAATTGTCCAATGTCCATAGACTAAAACCGGTTCAGTTAACATTCCGTAAAAATTCTGTTTGATGTGTTATAGGCAAGTTAACCTTTTCCTTCAAAAGACAAATACAGCTTTTATTTGTAGGAGTGCATTGACGGGGAGGAACAAAACATTTACTGGGAACAAGCCTACTCAAGATTACAGACATCATGGAGCATAAATATTTTCTTTAAATTCAAATTGAAATATACGATATGTGTCTGTATAGAGTTGTGTAATTTTTTGTTAACATACTAAGTTTGGTGTTATTCTTGTTACAAACAACTAGGATAGTTATTCTTGCAATATCCCACTTTTTAACAACCGATTTGACCAGTGTCATATTTATATGTAAAAATGGTGGAGGGGCACCAACTATTTTAAAACACAGATACCAGTAAAACTACAATACTTTCTCTTGCTTCTGTGTTTTTTAATGTCAAAAAACAGCATGGCTCCACAAAACACTGAACATGAGAGAGCGAGAGGAGTGCACTGACACAAGTTACAGTACCACTGTCACAAACATAGATTAAGAATGCAATATTTAAGCAGACACAACCAAGCTCAAAACAAATGAGCCTACAAGGCCATAAGCAAAGAGCAGTAAGCTCAACACCAGTGAAGTCAACGATGCTCACAGACAAGGTTTTAGGGATCCAGAGCCTTTCTATAGCCGCTTTCCACAGAGATCCTGCAATCAAAATGGAAAGAATGTTGGCCAATATATATCCCATTCCCAGCGTTGTACCTTTCATACAGCGAGACAGCATATTGGCGTAATAATCCCGAATAATAAGGCAGTATGAAAGTGGCTATCTGAAAACAACATCATGACAACAACAGTAATCCGTAGCCTGGTCTCAACCGATCCAGCACAACAATTTGCCCATGCAGGGACCAGCAGCAGAGTCAGGATGATAAAAGATGCTTTCACTCACCAGAGCTGAGGCCTCACCTGAGGAGAAAGGCGGCCCGGCGTTTTTTCCTCTGGGCAAACTTCTGGGTGACTGAAGTTTTTCAGACAGCCCGCCGACTCGTCGTGGCCCCACAGTGTTTGTTGTGCTACTCACTGGAGCGCCTGTTGGGCGTAAGTAACATTGAGCCCAGTTTCACAGCATCGTCCAGATGACTCCCGCTGTTCTCATGTTTTGCAATCCTCTCAGAAAGATGAAAATGAAAACAGGCACATGACAGTCTCCCTCGAAGCATAATGTTAACAGCCGGTCACACACCACGCTGTCAGGAGCTCCAGTGTTCGTACGACGTTAGCTTGCTGTTACCGATGGTGCTAACCTGTTGCTATCTGCAGACTATTAGCTCTCACACACAGTACAATACACAAAACTGTGTAGCAGTGTGACAAACTTATTATAAACTAGCCAGGCTAATAACTTGCTCTCTACATTAATAAAATTAGACTTTTCTTTCTTCTGCAGCTTGCTGCTGCCTCCACAGAAAACACACACATTCAGCACAACACCGCCTGTTAGTCCCGTCCCTTAACCAGTCACAATTTTAGAAACGTGATTGCCATCTACATGGACGAATCGGAGGCTTCTCATAAAATAGACATCACAGTCTGTCACACCTCAGGGTCAGAGGTTACCCTCTTAAAGCGACAGAGCCCACCCATTTTGTTAGGGTGGCGGTAGCCCCCACTGGCGGTGCTATTGTTTGCATGTAGTAAGTTCTTTTGTTTTGCTCCATGCCCTTGCTGCCATTTACCCTCCTGTACTGTTTCTTTCTTTTTATGTTTTTTTCTTTCTTTCAGTTTCATTAAGTAAACATATCGGTTTGCCTGCTTTTTGATCAAAAAACCACTCTCCATCTCATCTTCTCATAGTATGAGCACAGTAAATGTGATGTTGACTTTCCCTGCCCGCTCTAATGAGAAAGTTATGGCACTACAACTCCAAGATTTGGCCACTTTGTTTCTCACTCACAATCACTATTCTCATTAACTCTGTGTTAGTTTCCCTCCCATGCCTGCCACTCCCTTACTCTCATTTGGATTCAACTTGAAGCTTTTTGATTGATACATGCGTAGAGACTAAATTACCTGAAGGCTATCTGACTTAAAGCTGAACAGTAAGATGGCTGTTAGAAAGTTCAAAGATGCTATTTAGTCTGAGGTTGCAAATAATCTTGCAACAACCACCAGTCCTTGAGGCTATTGTAAATACACAAATTAAACCACATGCACTTAACTTTACTTGCAGTACTGTAAGGTTGGCCTCTAAATACCTGTTTACAGTTTAGGATTTTAGGATTTTGAAAATATATTCTTACTACTAATGCTAATGATTTTATGTTAGTATTACTTGTTTTTGTTGAACAATTTTCTTATTTCTGTAACGCACAGAGCTAAGAAGGGTTATATACAAATACATTTTTAAAATATATATTATTTTATAGTATACGTCTCTTTACATGGGATGAGAAAGTATAGAAAATGGAATTAATGGATTTGCCTTTTTTTAAATATTGCCATTTCTGAATCTGAATGAATGTTTAATGTCTTCCTCCGTCAACTCTCCCCACAAACCCCACCCAGTCCATCCTCTTGTTCCTGTAATGTCACTCCATCTGTTCAGTCCATTAGGTGGCTTCGTGGCTTAGTGGCTGCGCTGATGAAAATGACCTCTGTGATAATGCAATGCAATCCATACTCTAAACCTACTCTCGTGGGCGTCGCTTGGCACCAGAACACAAAGCATGGTTTTCATGCTAGACCTTCATCAAATCGTGTCTGACACACCAGGGCACTTTCTGTACACGAGTATCACCTTCTGAAGGGCTTGTTAATGTTAATACGATTTGAATATTTCGCAACAGCATTGCTCTGAAATCCCTTGTGTCAGCATGTTATGGGTAAGTGAGGTAAAAAAGAAAAACACACAGTAGATGCCTGAGAATTGCCAAAGATAAATATATAAACTTACCAACAGTGCCAGTTCTATGTGAAATTACTGCATTTCTTCTGTCAGTCATGCAACCTCCAGTTCCTTTTTTATTTGATTTAAAGAATAATGTACAAAATGATGTTATCTTCTGTAACTTTAGAAACAAACTTGATCAAAGAACAGACCCCATATGAAGTTTTCTCAGATTTAGATCATTGTTATTCTGAAGAAATGCACTTGTGTTATTAAAGTCCGTTTGCATATTCTTATTTTTGTTAGAGATTTTTACATTTTTACTTTGTTTAACAGGTTCATTATTTCATAATCATCTCCTAATGATTTTCACTGGAAAGAACTAGGAAATGTGTACATGTTTAAAGGGAGCAACAAGACAATGTTTAATCATTGAACTCAGAATGAATTAATCACAATTAATTACCCGAGTAACCCTGAAAGTCTTTAAAGTTATAATCCTTAAGATTTCAGCCCTGTTTGATGCAGCTCAGTACTATAACCAACCCTCATTGAGCAGCCACTTTGTCAGAAATACAACAGAAGAGCAAGTGATGCATCTGTTTACAGTGCAGCCAAACAAACTCTCGTAGACATTTGAATCCAGGGTGGGAATGGCAAACTTCACCAATAACAATAAAAACTACTGCATAGAAAGGTAATTACAGAATGTAAAACAGCTGTAATTCATACCATAGCTGTATTTATATATTCCACACTCAATTTGTCATCTTTATGCTTTGGTAATTGTTTCCGTTTATCCCAGCTTTTCTCGCTGCTACAAATAGGGATCATTATGTATCATCTGATCTAACCATATGATGTGGAGGGTGTTGATTCACTGTCAGTGTGCTTGTGTTGGATGAAAGAACTGAAGATTAATGGTGCATTCAGTTGCGTTGTTGTTGTTGGTGTGTGGGTGTGTGTGTAGGAGCCACTGTGGTTTCAGGAGGTTTTCAGTCACTTATAACCTCCGTTTTGATCTGAAATGTTTCACAAAAGAGCATCAAAAAGTCAAAGTCTCTTTTTTTTCTCTCTCTTCCTCTGTAGGTAGATGGATGATGCTGATCCCTCACTCTGGAGGTGTGGAGTGACAGATGACAGAGGGATTGGTACAGCAGGAGAGAACGCAAGCAGCAACGTCGGAAAGGGTCACTGCCGCTGGTAATGGAAAACAGCAGCAAAGGTCAGGTACATCGATTGGGAGGCGAGGAGAAGTAAGTGACCAGATTTACTGATGACACTGTTTCTCTCTCTTTACATTCTACCTCTGTTGCTTTCTTTTCCTCTCACTCTAAATACTTTTTCTTTGTTGCTGCAGCTACATTTTCTTCTCCCACTGCCTCTCATTTCTCTAATTTCTCTTCATCTCTTTGTGAAACACACACACATTTTGTACATAACACCTACAATGCTCAAAGTGCTCAATATTTCTGACTCGAGGAGCTTCAAAGCCGTACTTGCAATGCAGCGCAGCACTTTCTGCAAAGGCTCTTTTAGTCGTTGTGCCATTTCTCACAGTATTGTTGTCTTAGTTTTAAAGCTTTTGGCTGAAAAAGATACGCTGCCACAGTATTGTGCTATACCACAACAGTGACTCAGCATTTAGTCAATTCATTCAGCCGTTACTGTTCTAAATTCTTGCTCTTGTTCTAGACTTGAAATAATGTATTTTACTTGCAGGATTAACAGTTGTTTGTTTTGAATACTCGGGGGGAAAAAATGGGATGTTAGCATGAGCGCTAGCCAAACAGACACAGAAATGAAAACCACATAATTATGAAAATAGGAATGAAATAAATAATTGCAGCAGAAGAGGGCACAGCTTGAGGGCACAATGCTGAAAAGACAACAAGCATAATTTTTGTGTTCTAGAAGACATTAATTAAGACCATAATTTTAAAGCATTAGTAAAATGCTAACCGATTAGCAGATTAGCAATTTGTCCCTCAGGCATCACTCCCAACTGTTAGCATCAGCATACAGGAGGTCATATGAACCTGAGGCAAGAATGGGCATCTGAAAATGTAAATGAATTGTTATACACATGCAGAAATATTAAGTGATGATAAAAGATTAACTAACAATGATAAAAGTCCTAAATAGAAAGAGTAGATGTATTCCACCTAACACACAAGTGGACCACAGGGTATTCACAAAACATTAATGAGTAATGTAAATATAAGTATTTTAGGCAAAGTAATAGGAAAGTCATCTCAGGAATACACCATGCAAAACACAAAAAAATGTAATTCTTTGTTCCATATAACAATAGCTGCAGCATAGGAGCTACTATCTACTGTTGATTTTGTCCTACAAGGCAAAAGTATTGTTGTCACATAAGTTGATATTTTATTAACATTTATAGCTGCTGTTGTGAATGGATATGGAATATGAACCCTTGAATGTTAAACTTCAAACCACAAAAAAATCTGTTATTGCTGTTTGCGTTTGTGGGACAGTTTACTGTAATAAGACAGAAAACCTTCCATCCCATTTCCCTGCCGCCCTCCACTGTTTTATCTCGCAGAGCAGAAATGGCTTAAACAAACACAAATGCGGCAGCAGTTTGTCCCCGCGGTGAAAAGCAAAGTGACGGCAGCGACGTCTGTGCCTTAACTAGGCTTCAGTAGCGTGATCCTTTGTCAGTCTCCAGTCGTATCTGTGTAACTCTCTCTAAGAAGTTGAGGGGAGAGAATGTTTTACAGTCACAATGCCAATTATAAAGATGTGATTGGCTAGCTGAGACCAGCATGTACTCACTCCGCGGGCCAACATGTAATCTTTGGTCTGACACGAATGAACCGTGTGTTTTCATACCAGATTTAAGACTTAAACTACAAGATGCAAACGGAAAAGATAATTATTGTTGGAATGGAAAGTGACTGTCCTGTGGAGTCGAGAGATTGGTTATATTTTGGGTGACACTTTTTATTCTCCTCTGTCTACTTCCCTCTCTATCTCTTTCCTTTCATCTCTCTCCCCTCAACCCCTTTTCCTTTATCTCGCCAATCCCTTCTGCGTCTGACCTTCCTCATCTTCCTCTTTTCCTCCCTCTCCCTCTACCCCCTCATCCTCCTCCTCTCTCTTCATCCTCTCTCTCTCTCTCTGTGATGTATTGCTGCTTTATCAGACCGGTTAAATGGCTCGCCTGCAGTGCTGTTTAGTTTCCTGTGAACTATGCTGATACTCTCCACTGAGAGGAGGCGATAGGAAGCAGCCTGTCTATTACACACTGAGCAGAGCAGAGGTGTTAAACACACACACACACAAACACACATTCCTACATGTGCATACACATACACATAATTCCTCGTCATCTGTTCTTAAGTTGTTCACACTGTTCTTCTGTTTCATATTCATCTTTTCAAACCAGACCTTATTTAGACCTTTATTTAGAACCTTGCATACAGCAACCTCATTGATGGTTTTTGCTTTAAAACCACCACACTACCCTGTTTTATTGACTTTATGTTGCACTAAGTCCTGTTTTTTTCTAGCGTAGACATAGCCAGGACAAATAATCAATAAATCCCGATAGGAAGCATGGTTTGCAGCCTCCTTTAATCGGTTAAAGATGCAGACGCCTCTGTGAGCTTCCTGTTTCTGAAAAGGAGATTTATCGTGGACCCACTGGAGCTAAAGCCTTCAAAATTAAAGTTATAGGCGCAGTTGAAGAAAATGCACTTTGATATATGGGCTGAGTGAAAAAGCACTGAACCTGAACAAAGTAATTTTGCATTAGCATCCATACATACAAATGTCAAAAACCCAACAGATTATATTTACTGTGATGAAAAATTTTGAACTCAAGGTTCACTTACTTGCCAAAGCTGTTGGCCATAACTCACAGGCTTCTTCAGCGTGTTAAACTTCCTCAGGTGTAATCCCGTCACATGGTAACAGGTTGTCATAGAGGTGAGATAAGGCCTAAAGCTTCAGGAATAGCAAAGTGTGTCAAGAAGGTCAAGAATTAACCTCCACGCTCAAAACCTAAGCTGTTTCTAAATCTGCGTTTGCGTCTGCATCTGTTCTTGTGTACTTGTTAAACGTCATCAGTCAAAGCCCAAGCACTGTTCCAAAAGTCCGTATCTAGCCAAGTACAGCCAAATTTCAGGATGTGGTCTCGCTCCATCCATTTTTTAGAGCATGCATCACCGAACTTACCAAGTCTGAGCTTCCAAGTACAGAAGTACCGAACTTGGCGAACTCGGTATTGAGAAACACCCTTATAGGAGGCACTTAGCTTAGCTTAGCTTAGCACAAAGACTGGAGGCAGGGAGAACCGCTAACCTGGCTCTCTCCAAAGTTCAAGTATACCATAACACCTCTAAAGCTAACTATCTTGTGTGTTTAATCCAAACTCAAACAGTAATGTAAAAACGACACTTTGTATATTTGTATATTATGAAGAATTAAGATTTTGAATAATGTTAAACATTTTATTTAGTTTGATTCCTGTAAAGAGAAGGTTAAACTGCTATGCAGTTCCATACACTTGTAAAAAGACAGAAAAGAAGAATGTTGTTACTAAGCAAGCAGGAAATAAATCTCAATGCAAAGGGAATCTCCTATCCATTGTGAGGACATATCAGTTGAATTAAGTGAAGCAAAGGAAAAGAACAATATCAACTGCAGAGAGCTACAACATGTGCTGTAATTACTTCTTGAAAAACAACAGCTGGGCACAATGACTTCCCAAAGTCTTACAAAACTTAAATAATAATCTCAGTTCATATAAACATTCATAATGCTTATTAAAACCTTTTATTGTAGATTCCTGAGACATAAAGCATGGCAAGCTGTTCCAAGATATAGCTCTACACATTGCTTTTTGTCATAGCATCGGTATTTGTTAACATAGGCATAGATCCAAAATGTCAAACTATTAATTTAACCACAGCGGTTGCAGATCACAAAACAGTATATATAAAAATAATAAATATTAAAAAAAACAAATCATTTTTTGAAAGGTCATTTGGAAGAGGCTGCAAACTGCGTGTTTTATGTTGTCATGTAGGTATGAGGACTTGTTGCAGATAACACAAGCAGAAACAGACAATGTATCTGCCCACACACACACACACAAATAATCTGAATTAATTATTTTGTTTGCACACAATCACACCTAGACAGTGAATTTGTGCATTCACAGTCATTTACACAAACAAAAGCAAAACAGAGACAAATGAATACACTCAAACACAAATTGAGATACAATAGATTCACACTGAAAAATATAAATGTTTAAATTCCCACACAGACTGAAAAAATGCTAAGCAGGCTTTTATTATTGTGCTTTTTGCAATGCGTAAAATATGGACACACACACTCAAGAGTGCCTATTGTACTCTGGTTGATATTGTGGTAGACTCACCGCCCACTAAACTATCTGAGCTGGAGGCCTGGGTCCGTCTGGAGATGTGCTGGCTTTTTATCTCAAACACACACACACACACACATACACACATATGGACACGGAGGCACACACAAAGAAAGAAACACACAAGGAAGTGCACACACCCATTCACTTTTCATTCTTAAACATGTGCCCACACATTCTAAGAACTGTCTCATTGGTTTTCACAGTTTTTCACACTCTGTCTTACAGTTTCTTACACGCAGAGACAAGTGTGCGCACACACACACACACACACACACACACACACACACACACTCGGACTCCTCCACCTATCCTTGAAGACATTTATGAGGTGCTAAATCACTAAGCTGTCAGAGTGGTAAGGGTAAATAGAGAGGACAGCCAGTACTTTTGCACATACGGCACACACACTGCAATGTGAGGGTGTAAACATCAAAGCTTCTGTTTCATTTTATCTCCTTTAGTTTATTTGAAATGACTGTAATGTTTGACACTGCTACTGACAATCTCCCAAACATTTATTGTCATCATTTATAGGAGTGCAGACAATCAGTATTGGGCAACCTACTTGGAAAATGTAGTGAGCTAAGCTACTAGCTCCTCTACATTAAATGAAGCTTAACTACACAGAAGCCACCCCCCAGTGAAATGTAGCAAGCTAAGCTACAGCAACATGACAAAAATAGCTTAGTTACATCTAAGCTACTTTTAATTTTTTAATATTTTATAGTTAGGTCTATATATACACACACACACACACACACACAGAGTAAAGGCCTAGTTTATATTGAACTAACTTCATTCCACAGTAGCAAACGAAGAAAGACTAAAAACCTGCTCCAATGTGTGTGTGCGAGAGAGAGAGCTAAATCAGACACACAGAAACTCTCCTACTTCCTGCCAAATCATTGCAGCTAAATGTACTTCCTCATGCAAATGAGAACCATTGTTGTTTGTATAAAGTAACTTATTATCACATTATTATTGTGTATTTTTATTGTTTATATGTGAATTTGTGCTCTGGCAACCTAAACAACCTAAGAGTTCATGGCAATGGGTGAGAAAGAGAGAGAGAGAGAGAGAGAGAGATCTCATCTCATGGAAACACGTTTCTGCCACTACATATCAAAGTTTCCTCCTCACTAGAGGAAGAGGTGTCCAGGCTGGACCCTGATCCTTCTCACAAGAGGTGTTATAATAACTATCACCAGTGTTGGGCAGTGTTACTAGTTTAACTACATTTCTCAGTAGCTTGGTTGTAGCGTCGCTATTTTCTGTATCAAATGTAGTTAAACTAGTAACGGCGTTACTTGCCTAACACTGCAGACAATATCATTAATTAGTCTGGTAAGAAGAATTGAGTGTACAGTTATGGATGGCTGAAGGTTGAGGAAGAAATATAGGGAAGGTGAAAGGGAAGGTTTAAATGAAGTGATTAGGAATGAAGGAAATCAAATGGAAAATGCAACGACAGTGTTATGGGGTATTTAATGAAGTAGCAATGGATGGATGGAAAAAGGAAGGAATGATTTTAAAGGATAAAAGTGGGTGACTGGAAGGAAGGAAGGTTGGAAAGATCAATGCATGCTGAGATGTTGTTAAGACAGTCAGGAAAATGCAAGACAGGAAGTTGCAATTGATTAATTATGATGAATGACTATGTGAATACAAATTCGCATGCAGCAAACAGAAAAAGGATTTATCTCTTTTTTTGTTGTTGGTTCCTTCCACAGATCAACCTGTTTATCAACTCTGACCTAAAAGAAGTAAAGCCACATGCAACACCTCAGCCACAGCAGCAAGATTTACAGCTGATTGATACCCATCAAACTTATTTGCAAGATCTGGCGGTGGGAGCAGACAGCAGGCAGCAACCATGGATATGAATAAACCAATCTTCAGCTCTGAAATAAAAACTCTTAAACAATCAGTTCCACCAAGGTGTGGATGTGACTGAACACCACGAACCAAACAACGTTTTGGCTCATCGTACACCTCAAGAACTTGTCGCCAATGACTTTTTGGCAAGAAACGGGAGATTTAAATCTCAGGGAACAATTTGAGGCTATTTGCAGCTAGCAAGACTTTATTGGAATACAATATAAATTCAAGAACACTTGTAACTAGTTCCTCCCAATCCCTGTTATAAGTCTCTATCAATGCTGAGCGCATCTCGCTCTCCAAATTCTTCTTCCCTCTGCTGGTGAAGAAGATGAATTAAAACCTCCACCCTCCAGTAGGGTAAGGGTCTTCTATTGGGATGGGCGGCCCAGCAAGGGCTCTTCTTGGGGGTTTCAGCACCACCACTTCTTCCGTGGAGGTTGGAGGTCGGATGGCTTGGCCAAGCAACAGTCCCCTGGACCTGAACCAAACCCTGTCATGGGAGATAGGCCTTGGAGGCAGCGGTGGAGGTGCGGCAGCCATGAGTGCAGGTCTGGAAAATTTTACCCAAGAGTCCATCACCAGGGCGGTGATGAAAGAGAAAAACTGGCCGGCACTGCTCATACTTGTCATCATCGCACTGACGATTGGTGGAAACATCCTAGTGATCCTAGCAGTGTCACTGGAGAAGAAGCTCCAAAACGCCACCAACTTCTTCCTGAGGTCACTGGCCGTGGCGGACATGCTTGTAGGCATCCTGGTAATGCCAATCTCGCTCATCAACATCCTCTATGGTGAGTATTGTGGAAAGCCATTTCTCGCAATGGTCCAACACTAAAAGTACTACTATGAATAACAGAAGAGTCAGAGTAAGGAGGTGGTTGGGAACATTCTTTCCATGTAACTTATGTAAGTAGCATTACTAAACTTATGTGATTTCACGTAAGTAATGTAGTTACTTAACCATGATCTTTTCCTAAACCTAACCAAGTACTTTTGGTGTCTAAACCTAACCAAACTGTGATGTTTCAGTAACCACGTCCCATTTCACAGCGTTAACCAGTAGTTGTTGTTTTTTTGAAAGTTGACCCTGGAGCCATAAACGTACAAAAACAACGCTAAATGATACCCAGGGAATTAAAGAGCAACCCCAAGGGGTCTTGACAGAGCATCCATATGTGACATCCTGGGATGAAAATGGGTTGGTGAGCAGGACAATTAAACTTTCACTCACTTAAGAAAACAAAACAATTTGCCTCAATTCTGCTTTCACCACATAGAAAAGTGGAATCAAATACTATATAAAAACATCCTTCCCAAAGTAAAGGAAAATTTTAGTTTGGTTCGCTCAAATCAAACATATTTTCTCACTTACCTGTAGTGGTATCCAGCCATAGTTCTGGTTTAATTTGGCAAGTTTTTTGTGATATCTGCCTCTGAGATTTCTGCATCTGTCCCAAAACAATGGACGGAAATAATTTAATATAGGGTGTTCACATCAATGCTAAGTTCAATTTAACAGCACAACCATGCAAGTGGCTCTGTGAGGGAATTACCAAAGTCAGGAGGATCATCTGATCAATGTCTGTACCAAATTTAGTTTCAACCAATGTAGTACATTTAAAACTGTTTAACTGAATAAGTGCTAGATGAAAAGTCAAGGAATCATTAAAGTATAACTAGAAAATAAAATAAAAGTTACAAAACTGGCTACGTCCAATGTCAAACATAAGAACAATTTGCATTCTGTCCCTGAGTTTGCTGTATGGTAGAAAAAGGTTTTAGGTAGGCGTATACATAGAGATGCATTATTCAGGAATATCTGAATGACTAACAGGCTTGTCCTCTGTTCAGTACAAGATGCTCCAACCTGCTATAAGTGCTTGTATTGATTTTCTTCTTTACAGCTCCTTACTTTAATCATGACGAGATACAAGACAGATACATGTCTATAAATCTCACCTAATGCAGATTTCTACCCCTGATCTCGGGCACCCACCCACTCACCAGCTGCTGCCAGCACACTGTGACATGCGCCCTGTTATTATTTCAAACCATTTTTCAGTGCAATTATTGAAATAATCATTGCTTCTCTGATACATTGCACACTGTTATATTGCAAGTGATTCAAGAGCCGAAGGATGCCAACTTGATAATTGCAAAATCATATCCATTATCAACTGCTGTTCTTGCTTACAATATCCATGCCAGGATTCTGCATGAACGCCCACATTAGCTAAATAGTATGTCGGGTTGTTATATGGTGGGCTGTGTATTGAATTTCTTTTCCAATGTTGAGTGAAAACATCGAATTAAAGGAAGGCTGTCTTCCGCCAACATTTCAGCCAGGTCTCTACAATAACACCACAAAGGAGAGGTACATTTCTTACTGTGTACCTGTAACTGTCACCGTCACAGAACTGATCACAGAGCTGATAGTATCTGAGAAATTCTTTTGTGAAGCTGTAGATAAACACAAGCAGACCTTTTCAGTTTTCAGTGACAGTAATTCTTGTCAACACATTACTTACAAGCACTCTTTGAGCACTTTTACATTAATCTAGAGTTATCGGTTTATGTCAAATCTGCAACAATTTGGAGCCTCCCTTTTAAAAGCATTTTGATTGATTTATTTTGATGTTAATGAAAAAGATGACATTTCATTATTCCAACATAGTAAGGGAGAATGGGTCAGATGAGAGCTGTTGTTGCAATGTGGTAAGATAAGGTCAAGCAACAGTTTTGATGTTTTGTCAGACATGTAATGTGTTGCAGAGACCTCTACTGAAGTTAGTATGCTAACCAGCTGGCCCTGTCCTGAGTTGTAATACCACTTGTGTCTCGAGAAGCAATAGTCCGATATAGTATAGTTCAGGTCTCCCCCCTTAGTTTCAGCTGATGTGTGTGAGCAGCAAGTTTGCTACGTCACACAACCACTCTTAGCTTTCTCGTATTTTTCTAATAAATCACTTCGGTACTGTAATTTATTTGTTCGGTCCCGGCCTGGCCGTGGTCAATGGGAAGCAGTACTAGTGCCCATTCAGTCATCTAATAGTACTAATAAGTTAGCTGCACGGCTAGCAGCAGTTATGACCTGATGTGTGATATGCTGCCCCCTATTTTCTGAAATTTGAATTTGACAGGTGGATAAAAGTCACAATTCTTACACATTGTACCTTAAAAAAGGTCTAAGTCAAGTAAGGTAATTCGAAACAAGGACAAATCGGGTCTGAAGTCTGTCAAAACAGTCATGAGTTTCCATGTAATTAAGTCAATATGTAAGGTCAAGTCTTTGGGGAGTCAAGTCTCAAGTAAGTATGTCAGACAAGTAGTGTGTATGCATCTAAACTTCTTTTGACCCATTGTTATTACACAAATATTGATTATAGCTGCTTTCACAAACATTTAAAACATCAAAATATCTGAAGTGTGGGTCAAATGTTAATGTCAAATATGTGAAAAATATTGTTTCTTTTCTTCCACCATCACACGTGTGATTAATTTGATCCAGCATTTGTCTAAAATCTTTGGGACTTGGGATTCGCTGTCATTCTACTCTGCTGACAGCAGAGACAGCCGAATACGACTATATTGACGTTTGTCTTGACAGACCGGCAAATTTGACAAATAGATGTTTAGGCTCAGTTGGTGCTAAATAATTTCCGATTGTTTCTTTATTTTTTTGTGCATCTGATTGAGACTTTGATGTGAGAAGTCTCCTCGGTTATCAGCCAGCGTCACATGTGGCCATTTTGTGTCTTTGAAAACATTTTGACTGGGTGCAAACAGTGATTGGATATGAGCCAAATAGTATTGCCTGGGAGGATAGTATGTGCCATTTTACCAGTGCGACAGCAGAGACAGACTGATTCAGAAAAAGTCTTAACAGGCCAAAAATGTATTAGAGTGTTTGGAGTTTTGTTACTATGGTTTCACCAGTCAGGAATTCCAGATATGCTTACATTTGTTGAGTTTATCAACACTGATGTATTTTACCTGGATATTTTGCTAAGAGGGGACATTATTATCCCCATTACTATCCAACAATTGTTATGTTGTCCACTGTTTGACACACACATGACCTCATTGTGTCTTGTGTAGTATGTAAATGGTTGAAAATGTGCAGCATATTGACAGAGGCAGATAATGCAGGAGTGGGAGGAAGTCCTGCAGAAGAACACAAACATTGCTAAAAAATGTATTGTTATTAGAGTTTGTGGAGTTTCGTGCACATTACAATTCTTTCACCAGTCAGGATTTCCAGGCATTCTCAATTTTTTTTTTAAGGCTTATCTCACTGGTGTATTGTACCTTGACATTTTGCTCCGAACAGAACTTGTTCCTGTGGCTGTGTTTATTGACAATATTGTGCTGAGAATGGATGTATAACACAAGATTGAAGGGTAAAAGGATGAATTAGGGGTCAGAAGGTTCAAATGTGGATCAATGACAGCCAAAGAACTCAATTAACCCAAGAAACTGAATAAGGAAGAAAAGATTTGTTGTATTGTGTTTGAGTTTGAGATTGGCGCCTACATTTCTCACAATGCATTTTGACTGTCAAAGGTTTGAAAGGAGATTTGTGCATGACATTCTATAAGTGATTAATGTAGACTTGTGGGGTTTAAAGAAGTCATCATTTAGGAGGCAGAGTTGGTCCAATGAAGAACTGTATTGAGTTGCATTCTGGAAAATGTAGTATCGCAAGGTCTTGGAGCTTTACGCAGACTAGGAATTAAAAATCAGAATATGTCAGCTTCTGATTAGTCATTGTTTAAATCTCTCTTGTGAGTCCCCCATATTTATGGAAGTGCAATGCTAAATTGCTGGAGGACCACGTTAAATCAGCTATTCAAAAAATAACAATAATAATCAACAGATGAATCGTTGCTGAAATAAATTGTTACAAGCCTTAAAAATGCAGATGTGGATCTACACACATGGCAAGAGTGCCTATATTAAATGTTTATTCCCTCTTCTGTCTTCTTCCATTTCACCCTGCAGCTCTGTTGAATCCTCAGTACAACTTGTTCCAAACTTGCTATATTCACATTCATATATATCATCTGTTCTGCATTGTAGCTGACAAACCTCTGGTATACCTCCAGGAATACTAAACAGGACAGGGAGGGTTGATTGCTGCTTAATGGGCCTTGTATGGTCAATGGACACACTCGGCCGCTCACTCTGTATCTCTCTGTTAGTTCAAGCTGCTGCTGCTGCTGTTGCTGCTGCTGAGTGCTCGTGCCATAATCAATGTTTCACACAAATAGCAGGGGGAGGTGGGAAACCCACTGACAAGTCTGTCTTTTTCTTTGTCTGTTTGACAAACAGATGCATATACACAGATGCACATAGGCAATGTGTCTCTCTGTCATTTATATACACAACTACAAAAGAACAACAGTCCCTCTGCAAACACACACACAGAGATCTATACTTGCCGTGTTATCCATCAGACTGGTACTTGACTGTATTGATCTCCTTGGCTGGCACAGTAAATCGACAGTGAATCGCTCAGAGAAGAGAGAGTAGAGTAATAATGATGATGACAATGATTATGATGATGATGACAATCATGGTAAAAGATGCTGTGGATAGTAATTTAGCAACTTTGTTTTATTTGTACACACACACACACACACACACTGTCAGCTGTCTGGTATCACACAGAGCTTTTGGCAAGTATGTTTGAATTTCTTTAATTGGAATTGTGATGATTAAATATAATTGATGGAGTCTAAGCACACACGTGTGCACACACTGGCTAGCCCGTAAGAAATACAAGGTAAAT